CCCCAAAACCCCAAAACCCCAAAACCCCAAAACCCCTGATTTCTAATCCTAATTGAAATTAATGATGTTTTGCACGATGCAGAGGATTGTTGCTAAAATAAACCTTAGATCATTACTATTGATATCATAACCTTAAATTCTCCATACCATTAGAAAGTGTTAAAGAATCAGAGATCTATAAAGCCCTGAGTTTATTGCCCTTCCCCAGGATTCAAATAAGTTTGCTTTAATTACTAATAACTATTAATTAAGCTTGGTTATTGGAGTTAATAAGGTCCAACTTCATGCCCTGTTTGCTCGTTACAACAAGATCTGCAAATTCGGTCACTCTAGCGAGGGTTTTGCCAGGAAATTCATACAGGATCTTCTCATAGTCTAGGTTCTGGTACTTGTACTGATTCTTAATAATCCTTTTCATTAACTTGATTTCTCGATGAGAGAAATAGTCAGACACTCTCTTCTTAATTCTTTTCACTAAATCTCTGGGGAGGGCTAGCCAATGGAAGACTGAGCAGAGATGACGAACAGAAGGATCATTCTTGATCTCTCGAGAAGGGAGGTTGATTATTTCATCCAAACTGAGTACTCCTTGCTTTTCAAGTTCGTGAATCTTATGGAAAAGTAGTTTATCTTCATTCTTTCCCCACCTTATCCAATTTCTTCAAGCCGGGACTTCAAATTTCTCCAGGTTCTTTGGAAGTTCTTCAGTTGATGGAGAGGGTTTCTTGTCAATTGACTCAACTGGATCCATATTTGATTGTAGAAAGCTATCAAATTGGTTTAATGGTAAGCTTTCTCAACTTTGAATCCCAAATATCTCCTTGTTCTCTTCCTCAATAATGCTTCCAGGATTCTTACAAAAGTTTAATACTTCTTCTGGCTGGTCGGCTTCTTCTAAGCCTGAATATTCGAGATTCTTGCTAGGATCTAAGAAGTCAACGGCACCAAATAAACTTTCTGATAGTTGGTTAGCAGGATCTATTAAAAATTTGTTAATAATTTCAAGATATAAACCAGGGTGAAGAATCTTGTGCTTAAGGCTGATCCTCCAATAAAGCCAAACACATAAGAGAGCTTGACTCAGTTATGAGTACTGAAATGCTAAGGTATGCTTACAGATTCCCATAAAGTATCTTTTGTCCAAATTACAAAAATCTTCTTGGTCTGAATAATCGGAGTTCTGCATTATTTATTTTTATTAAACTTACTGAGAATTTTTCTTTTATAACTTTCATTACTCAATCTAATGTAGAGAATAAAATGGATCAAAACAAGGAGGATGAGTATGGTCGCAACCTGATGATGACACTACGACTGCTTTCACTAACATTCTCTATTAATATGTTACAGACACTATTCCATTTTATTCTGGCAGATACAACAGATATGAAGAATGGGATGAACGAAATCACCTAGCCCATTCTGAGTAGCGATTTATCCTGGCCTAATAAAGCACTATAAGAGAAAATTAAATTAGGAGACTCTTCACCAAAGCAGATTAGCATCTAGCTTTTATTTCAATGATTTGAGACCACATTTTGCCATCCCAGGACGTTTTAATAAGTTATCAGGAACAAATTGAATGAAAGTTCTCCTTAAATTTTTGATAATATTTTGCTGGTGAGACCTCTTAAACTAATATATATTAGCTTAAATATGCTTTAATAGAGCTAAATGGGCTCCTCAATGAGAATTTAGAGATAGATATATTGAAGTCAACACGAAATAAAATACCGTTTTAATAATCATGCTTACCTATTAACTGCACTTGTTCAAACTCAAAACCTATTTTCTGAAATATTGCCAATTCCTCTTAATTCCATTTTCAGTAGTCTTAATGGATACTACAGCTAAAAGGAAGTATTACACAAAAGGGTTTAACCGCACCTTATGAGTGGAAGGGCATTTAATAATTTCATGAAAAAGATTTTTTCTGACTAAAACAGAAAGTAACGTTTATAACCAACCGTTCTTCGTTATTGCATTCATAATGTATGGCTCAAAAAGAAGCCGAAGCTTTGACATTCATCCGATTAGGCAATAAACTAACATTTGCGATATCAAAAGCCTCGTGAGGCTTTCATTGTGAACTAGAAAGACCAAGGGCTAATAAAATAGGGGAAATAGTCTTCGATTCATTCTGTCACCTCTTTAAGGTATCTTTTTCATGCAGGTGTTGTTGCTACTGTATCATTTGGACTATGACAGTTATATCGACTTTGAGGGTTAGATATTAAAGCCTCTATAAAATATTTTAATAATCTGTGCAAAAAATGGGGAATGTACTAGGCAAACTCTTTTCATCAGTTTCAACAGCAAATGCATATTAGGGGTTTTGGGGTTTTGGGGTTTTGGGGTTTTGGGGTTTTGGGG